GTCAGAATGGAGATAAAATGGCAAGTTCTGTCACAAAACTCTAGATGGCGCAGGCTGATGTGTCATTAATGCAAACTGATGATCTTCACAACATTAAACTACTTGGCACAAGCTGATTGGTTCATGTTGCATACACAGCTAATGAGCTTGCTGCTTTGCATTTAAATGGCTGGTTAGCATTCACTAGAGCATTTCGCAGCACACTTTCAGAGTTCCTCTAAAACCCTCCACCTTCCCCTGCTCCACCTGTATAGATCTGCTATGGGTTATTATATATGCTACTTGTGCAGCAGCAGTATGTCTTAATACTCACAGCTCTAAATCTGTGTATACTGTATGTATTAGCAGTAGCAAGTTCCTGTACTTGCTTCGCAGCAGCAGCAATAATCTACAACAACAGCAATAACCAACAGCAGCAGCAATTCAGCAGCGTAGCATTTCTATTCCGCCAAGACCAAATACATTAACATGGTCATATCCATTACCATGCTAAAATCTTTAGAGAGTTGTCATAATAGAAATGTCATAATTTAGATTGTCATAATTTAGTTTTTTTTTTTACCTCATCAGTAATTATGACTTAGTATTTCATAATTTAGTTTTTATTTGATATCATATTCTTAATTAAAAATTAATCCTAATTATGATTAACCATCATTATGGATAAATTAGGAATTATGTCGTAATATTTAACTTATGTCAATTTTGACTTTTTACGTCATAATTATGACAAAGTATGCCATCATTTTGAATTGTATTTCATATTCATGAGTTAGCATCTAATAATTTCGACATTTTGTCATACTTTTGACTTTTTAATCTCATAATTATGACTTGGTATCTAATAATCTAAACGTTTTACTTCAGATTTCTGAATTTCTATCTTATATTTTTTTTCTTACTCATTTTTGGGTTTCCATATGTAACAGTTCAAACTGCTAATACTGCAATAAAACTGCCCTAATTTTCCACTGCAGCATAAAGAAAGACTGGGATGAGCCTAATGTAAAGTAAGTGACCAGATCCAACACCCAAACATCTCTCTCTCTCTCTAACTTCCACTGTGTCAGCAGCTCCGAGCTGACAGTGACACCACCATCCTCCACTCTGAGAGAAAGAGAGGCATTGTGCCCAGCCATTATCAATGAGCATGATGCATCATAAACATTGTGACCTCTCATGTGAGGGGCTTTTATCATGCGGGTATTACAGCTCATTGTTTATTATGTGCTGATTAACTACAGTTCACTGATGTAAAGTTTGAACTGCCCTGTGCTTAGTTTTACTGAATCTGCACTTGTAGTGTACTTCAAATAGGCTATTCTATTTTTTCAAAAGCTGTACTTGCAGATAATAAAATATTAATAAAATAAACTTTACGTACTAAAGCATGTGTAAAGCATCTTTCAACAATATTCTTATAAGTACTGTTTTTAAGTGAGCTAAATTACACTACTTTCTGACAAGGATTTGCAAAACAATTAATGTGTTGAATATGACTACATCATCATCATCCTCCAAACAATGTGAAGTCAGTGTACATTCATTTTATTCATCAAGCACCCACTGTATTGTGGCAAGTGCCCTTAAATATCACTGTTTTATTCTGTAAGCTGCTACTGTTGATGGCGTGTTTGCTGGTGAACGTGAATGAACAGATGATGAGAACAAATGCAGATTAGCCCGAAATCATTAGAGCCCCCCCCCCCCCCCCTTCACTCGTGCCCCCTCAAAAATAATGAGCGCATGATACCCCTGACACTACAATACAAAATTATTTGTCAAATAAATGAAACATGATGAAACATTAATTTTAGTTGAAATTGTTATAGATTACTTCTAGGGATCGCAGTGATACATGACATGGTGAAAAATGACTGAATGAATAATACTGAAAGTAGGTCAAGATGAATTTTAAAAGTGTGTCCCCTAAAAACACAAGTGGCCCCTGTCTGTATGGAATAGTGTATTACTATAACTTTTTGTAAAAAAAAATGTTTTGTAATTTTAATTGTAAAAATTACAAACACTTTGGCATGACTTGTTTTACTAAAGCACTTCAACACTGTTTATGCAAACTTGTTTTGATCGTAATTACAAGTTCAATGTTATTTTGAAGTGAACTAGTGACCTCATGTGGTATGACAAAATAAAATAAAAATACACTTTTTATCCACTAGATGTCACTGTTTAATTGATACTGTGGAGTTTGGTTAATTCAGCAACAACTGGATATTTCTTATTTTCTTTGTTATATAGGCTTGTACACTACTATTCAAAAGTTTGGGGTGGGCAAGATCTTTACATTTTTTGACAAAAAATACATTAAAGACATTGATATTTAAAAAAAATGATTACAGTTTAAAATTATTGTTTTGTACTGTCATGTATTTTATAAAGCTATTTATTTCTGTAATGCCAAAACGGAATTTTCAGCAGCCATTACTCCAATCAGTATTACATGATTCTTCATGAGAAATCATTTTAATATGCTGATTTGGTGCACAAGAAATTATCATTGATAATATGAATTATTATATCAGTGTTGAAAACTTTTAATATTTTTGTGGAAACCGTGATGTTCTTTTTTCAGGATTATTTAAGGAATAGAAAGAACAACATTCAAAAATTCTAAAGAAATCTTTTATAAAATTATAAATGTCTTTGCGGTCACGTTTGACCTACTTGATCCATTTTTCCTGAGTAAAAGTACATAAAAAAAAAATCAGCCTTTATACAAAAATACACTCTAAAAAATGCTGGGTTAATATGGAGCGATTGAGTTGTTTTCAACCAACAGTTGGGTTAAATGTTTAAACCAACCTTCTGGGCAGTAACCCAATCGCATTTTTGTCCATATGTTACCCAGGGCTGGGTTGTATTTAACCCAGCATTTTTGGAGACTGCTGCTAACCCAATGGAGAGTTTGAATAAACTGAATTATAATACAGTGCACACTGAACACAGTTTTACAATCACTCAAATCAAACGTGCAGTTTTCAGTTCAGATTTATTTCAAGAGACTTTCAAGTAGCCTATAAGTCTTGGAACAGGGCATTTGAGCAGAAGAGAGGGCCTCAAAATATTAAGGTAATGGACAGACAGCACTGTTGAGATCCAATTAAACGTGTATTCTGCATTTCCTCCTCTAAAGAGACAGATCAAAAGAAAATGGTCACTAAAAGAAAAGATGACAAAGAAAAATTTTTGTCATTCATCTTGAGCTAAATTTCCATGACACCATGCATGAAGAGTAACATTGCATAGTTTCCCACTACACAAGCATGCTTTATATTTACAGTTTGACTGTAAAAAAATGGGTCAGAAATCATTCTTTCATCATTATTCTCCCTTATAATGTAGTTGTCATGTTGTCAAGTGGAGGAGTCAGAAACTATTGTAAAAAGAAATACTGTGACATAATTGCTATGTAAACAGCATGGAACCCTCAACTTCATTCCTTTAAAAACTGATATGTTTGCATCTGTTTATGTTAAAAATAAAAGGAAAATAAATAACACGTTAATTCCACTAGATGTCACTGTCCAACTGATGCAATATTTAGTTGAGTGCATTCATTATCAACTGGCCATCTCATTTATTTACTTTTCTAAATACAGTCCAGAGCTGCCAAGAAATAACTGTACCTGACATATTCAGGATAAATGACAATTCGGATGGACAAAATAATGCAATGCCAAATATAAATGTTTATTTTTTAAAAGTACAAAAATAGTTTTTAGCTGCATTAACTCTTTATATTCTACCCTGTTGGATGTATACATTAATTTCATAATCATAATCCCCCATTATAGCTACTACAGAACGTAATGTGTTACCCACATTTGAATGTACATCCACTTGGAGAACATCTGGAGGCAGCTGTGAGAGGATTTCTGGAGAAACCATGCGGTTTCCGAGAAACTGTAATGCTGCAGGCATAGGCAATGACACAGAGATGGGGGAAACTAGGACACGCTTCATTTGGTTGTGTGGCCTGAAGCTGGGGGATCAGCTGATCTATTTGGAGGCGAGCAAGAGAGAAACCATGTGGCTTATAAGAAAACACGGTGACCGAAGAGCTCCATGAATACAAATGGGTAAACATTTTTAAAGAAATTCCATGGTAAGAGTAGATCTATTTGGCTTGTAAATGTCATTTTAAACTAAAGAACATAAGGGCTGAGAATCTAGCCTTTGCTGACAATGTCCTTTCCCTATACAGCAACTAAATATAATGACTTGCAATTTATCAAAGAGAGACTTGTTGCAACTAGAGATTGCATTGTATCCATATAACCAAAACTAAAATACAAGTAAACTTACTATATAGATTCAGTCACACAGCTAAAATTACAAATGCAATCTCATTCAATTCTCCTTCTCATCTGACTATTGAAAGTTTGCTATTATGTTTTCCATTGTTGATGTCAACAAAATGATGTCTACATTAGATTGCAACACAAACTCACAATAGCCTACATTTGTGGTATAATTGTAATGCTACTTGCAATGGAACAACCCACAGGCTCCAAAGGCGGACCAAAATCCATTGCGCGCGCACACACACACACACACACACACACACACTAAACGCCTGAGTTAAAAACAACCCAGTTTTTGTAATTTAGCCAACCCAGTGCTGATTCAAAAAGGGACATTTGGTATCAATACTTATGCTTGATGCCTAAACAAGAATATGTAAATGGCATCGTTAGACTCGAACTGGACTTCTGTTCTCTACAAAACAGACATGAGCCATGTCAGAAGAATTATCATCCTTATCATCATTCATAATATAATTAACACTCAGGAAGTAGGTTAGATCTAGCAATCAAGATAGAAAAATTAAAGCTACGCTGTTTGCAAACAGAAACATTAGGAGTCAAAACATAGGGTGCAGATTCTCTCCACTAGATCACATGATGCAGCAGCGTGTCTGGACTACGTCATCATCAGCCTATAAAAGAAGCTGTGAGAAACTATAGTCTCTCACACCACTGAAAGCTAAAGGAGAGTACTTGGGACACACTTTGGCTGCCTTCAGTTCTGAATGATGCCCTTTAGCAAAGCGAGAAAAGGTAAGACAATCTATAGCATGACATATATTGTCTTGTTCTGCAAATGTTGACTGGCTGTTTAGAGTCTGAGATGAAAAGCTGCAAGTAGAATTAAAAGGCGCATGTCCTAAAAGGTTGAAAACCCCTGAATTAGAGACCTGCTCTCCCGCGAGACCTGACGCAACAGAGTGGGACAAGATGGGCGATGATGCTTTAATAACAAATATTTATCGGGAACGTGTATGCTGGGATTTCATAAATTTCATGGAGAAAAAAAGTAATGTAACTAGTAATGTAACTAATTACTAATTACTTTTGAAATAAAGTAATCAGAACGGTAACGTGATTACTTTTAAAAGGAGTAATCAGTAATTTGATTACATTATCAGAGTAACTTTGCCCAACACTGGTGATGGGAGGGTGTGTGTGCTTGTGTGTGTTTGTATTTGTGCTCACATGTGTATGAATAGCCCACCCCCCCAAAAATAATCAAACAATAATCAAAGTTGTATTGGCATGTCGAGCATTTACAGGCTATTATACAAAAGCTGGGCCGCGCCCGCAGCCAGATTATTTTGATAGAGGCTGGTTCTGAAAAAGATCTGTCATGACAGCAACAGTTACTCACAATCAGAATATGTGAGCGGAGCACGGAGTGCTACGGTGTGATTTTGACTGGAGCGAGGAGTGGATTTTTTTAAGTCAGAGCGTGCATGGTTTTCATTCGCTCCATGAGCTCTCCACCACTGCTCCATCACGAGTACAATTCATGCCAACGACCTTTAACAAGAATTCACATATTTAGCTAGCTTGATAGAGAAGGATCAGCAGTGTTGGGGGTAACGCATAACAAGTAAAGCGAGTTACGTAATCAGATTACTTTTTTAAAGTAACTAGTAAAGTAACACATTACTTTTTAATTTACAAGAGAATATTTTAGTTACTTTTTCAAATAAGTAACGCAAGTTACTTTTTTTTCAACTTATTGATTGAGAGCTCTCCTGTCCCCATGTTGAGTGAAATCAGAAGACGTTACTGTAGTTTTAAAATAAATATGAATATGCATTAATTCATCTCACTCACAAAAAAAAAACACAGATTCAGTATTCCTCAAAATTTATAAAAATAATGCAACTCAGAATATGATGCAAACCTGCAATAATTAAATGTTAAACAACACAAATATGCTTTATGTATTTAATCCCATTCTATTAACCAATGTCTTTGCTTCTGACCTTCGATGATCCAGTTCAACCCTACTAATAAGCAAAAATTACTCTAGACAAACATTTGTGTGTCTTTTGTTATTGCTGAAGTGTGTTGAAATGTCTTCTTCTGCATTCTACTGTACAGACGTTAATTTACTTTCCCTTCAGTCTGAGGCTTATTCATTTCATTTTTGGTGTGAAAATTATATTATAAAATTATAATTATAATAATATATAAAATTATACTATATTTGCCAAAAATAGAATTTTTATTTTAAAAACAAACAAGCAAGCCCTGTCCAAATTTTAAAAGTAACGTAACGCATTACTTTCCATAAAAAGTAACTAAGTAACGTAATTAGTTACTTTTTATATGGAGTAACGCAATATTGTAATGCATTACTTTTAAAAGTAACTTTCCCCAACACTTAGGATCACTAATATCAGAAAGAATGTGACGGCTATGATGATGGCAATAGACATGAACGGGAAGTTATTGTTCTATAATTTATTAATAATTTAATTTCATTAACTTATAGTTCTCAAGGAGTTTGTTTGTTTGTTCCTTCTAGATATTGAATATTTTCAGCAGAAAGCATGATTTAAGTACTACAACACTTATTCACACGCAATCGCTCTCTCAATAATGCATTCAAACAAATGTAATCTTAAAGTGCTACTTCATCTGTATCTGATTTTGAATGAGCAGAAATCTGTAAGAAATGCATCGATCCGTAGGTAAAATAACTGATGAAAACGTTTCGATTTTCATCACAAACAAAATTTGCACAACAAAAAGCAGCAATTATACCTTTTAATGCTGACACCATGTTAGCTTGTCACATGGTAGGAAAAAGTTTTCACACTAGTGTTCCAATAAGCCACTTTGAAACTCTCCTGTTATTTTATTTTTTAATATACGTTATGAACAGAACTGTGATATTTAAAACCTACTGAAATACTTCAGACGCTGAAGCGGTGTTTTTGATATCAGTTAGCGCGGAGTGGAGCGGGAGTGGGAAATGGTAAACCCAGAGCGGAGCTGGAGCAGAGTGATTATTAAATGCTGAGAGCGCGGAGGAGAAATTGTTGCTGCTCCACTCCGCTCACATACTCTGCTGGACACCACCACACAAATGTGGCTTTTTGTTAATGACTGTCCTACTACAGGATTTCTAGTTGCATTTTTCATCAATTCATTTCTTAAATTATCCTTCGACTATGTTCTGGCCAAGCGGCAACCTCCCCCTCTCTCTCGTGAAGCCAACAAGGAAGTGACTTAAACTGTAATTCATCAACTGGCCGCTAGAGGCTGGCTGCAAAAGGGAGTCAATCCCATACTCCCCATGTTATAATGCCCAACTTTACAGCAGAAAAAAAACGTTTACAGCCTGGTTCAAAAAAAGATTTTGGTCTATATAGCTAATTTTGCCCTTCATGACAACTGAATTTTTTTATAACTCATCCGTTTAAATTATATTAACCTGCATAATTAAGGGCGTGGCCACTTGAGTGACAGGTGGATTGCCGCTGCTGTCACCACTGTCGAGCTAGGTGGGCGTGGCTTCAGCAACCTGTTCCCGCCTCTTTGCCCATTTTCGATTATCCGGGAGTAACGCGCGGTGACGCACTGCCAAGATGGCGACGGCCGCCTCCGCCTACTTTTGAGTTTCAAAAACGCTCCTCGGAAATCTACGGATGACGTCACGGACACTACGTTCATGTTTTTATAAAGTCTATGGTTCTGGCCCACCATCTAGTGGCAACATTTTTTTTGGCCTGATGCCAAACTTACTTGCGACTCCTGTCTTAAAGAGACAGCAACTTAAATAAACCTGCTGCTGTCTGTCACAAATTTTTTTTAAACACTAACCAGTGGTGTTTTAAAGTTAATTAGATTAAGCTCACACCCAAAGCGCGCACATAGAGCCACAAGAGCGTGCGACTACAGAATGAAGTTGTGTTGAGCCTTATTGTGCGGAAAAGGCCAAATACACACAAAATTACGTCAAAATGCCCGTCTTGATGTGTATTCACGTAAACAGTCGATTTATACTAAACATTGTCGGTATATAGACTATTAAGAGAATGTAAACAGTTGAGAAACAAAACTTATGATTAACAGTTAGATCCGTGCATGAGGTCTTAAAGAGACAGCAACTTAAATAAACCTGCTGCTGTCTGTCACTAATTTTTTTTTAAACACTAACCAGTGGTGTTTTAAAGTTAATTAGATTATTCACTGTCTGTGGTATTTCTGTACCTGAATATTACTGTTATACCTACCCGAAAAACTAAAAGCACAATTAATTTTATTTGTATCTTGTTACTGTATTTGTTTGTGCCATTGCTTGTCATTTATCTATTCTTATTTTATTACTGACTCTTTACTTGTCTTTTTTAGTTCAAATTAATTCAATTTTGAGTTTGAAATCAAAGTTCTTTTGAAGTATCTTCCTCACAATATAAATATGAATCAACAACATTATAAATTGAAAAACAAATACACTGGGTGACAAAACATTTAGGTTGGATGATTGTAGTCTAAACAAATACCCTAACTCTCCCCTCAAAATAACCCCCCCTTCACTGGCAGAAACACTGTGGCAGGTGTCGACATGTAGTTCCGTTATGATACGTAATCAGAGGGTGGGGAGATGGGGGGATTCCCCCGGTCTATCTCTGCATCAGCTAAATGATTTTTATATTCACAGTGAATAGGAGTTAAAACTCCAACCCGGGTGACACTACTCCAATAACAGACCATGCAAAATACCCAAAGATATTTAAAATATTGCAAAGTAACGTTGCAACCTTGCAAACAATAATAAAATCAGAGAAGGACTTTAATTGTAAGCGACACGAGCATACGCAAAACAAAGGGAATATCTCGGTTACGTATGTAACCTTGGTTCCCTGAAAAGGGAACAAGATGCTGCGATGTCGTCATCGCTATGGGAACACATCCAGTGTGACGAATGTCTGAAGCCCTTATACCATCACGCCAATTTATTGGCCAATAGCACTTAGCACCACCCCGAGCATACGTCACGTTTTTTCATCAGATTTTTCACTATGACGAAGGAAGTGCTATCGAAGGTATGGAACGGCCAGCATCGCAGCACCTCGTTCCCTATTCAGGGAACCAAGGTTACATACGTAACCGAGATGTTCCCTCTCATAGGTTCACTTCAATGCTGCGATGACGTCATCGCTATGGGAATGCTATACCATCACTCCTGACGTACGTAAGATAGCTGGAAGACCGAGGAAAGAGTCTGCTCAAGCGGAAGAGACCCGGGAGCCAAGAGCCATCCTCACATCCAGACAAGTAGAACTTGATGAAAGTACTAGATGGCTAACCTTCCACAGCACGTCCCATCAAAGGCCCTTTAAATAGAGCCTGAGAAGAAGCCATTGCTTTCATAGAATGAGCACGCACCTCTAGAGGGGAAGTCACACCGCGCACCTCATAGGCTAGAGATCTAGTCACTATCTGACCCCACATAGCAGGGGAGAAGGCCTCCAACCAATTGCTTAAAGCGAAACGGAGTCGAAGCAGCCTTAGGATTAACTAGGCCTAGGAAGCAGTAAGACTTAACCAGCCTCGGGGCAAAGTCCAAACAAGAGGAGCTGACAGAGCCTGCAGATCCTCAGTCCTCTAAGAGAGGATAGGATTACCAAAAACTGCTTAAGGTTTAAAGGTTATCTGACAGACTTAAACGGCTCAAATGGATGGCTTGCCAGGCCTTCCAACCGAAAAATCTGTGCTGGGCGGAAAGGCCTAAGCCGTCTCGTCCCTGCATGAAACAGGAAACCAGAGGGTGACATCCCGCTGAAACACCTCTATGTGTAATGCTCAGCAAATATGGCAGCCACATAAACCTGCGGCAGGTCCCTACAGGGTAATGGACTGGGTCCAGATTGTGTCTACTTAAGGGCATACAGCATCTCGTGGAGGGAGCCCTAGAATTAAGAATAGTGTCGGTAATCTCAACCAAGAGACTGAAACACATTACAACTCCGCTCAGGGTCACACCCATTAGTTCCAAAAATCCTGATGGGGATGTCCAAATCATGCCCCGAGCCCGAGTCAGCAGGTCGTGTCTGAGGGGAACCTCCCAAGGGGGTCGGCTAACAGACTGACCAATTCTGAGAACCACGTACGAGTGGGCCAAAACGGCACCACCAACAACAGACGTTCACTCTGACCAACCTTACTCTGAACAGAATCGTTTGGGAGCAAACGGGTCGACAGGAAGGCATAAGACTGGTCCTGGGCCATTCTTGAGCTAGAGTGTCCACACCCAGAGGCGACGGAGGAGACAAGGAAGCCAGAGCGGGCAATGCGCATGCTCCAAGCAAACAAATCAACTTCTACTTGGCTGAACCTCTGCCATTTGAGACTCCCCACCTGAGGGTGCACTCTCCATTCTCCAGCCTCCAAACTCTGTCTCAAGAGTAAGTCCACTCCTGAGTTCAGGTGACCCGGGACATGAACTGCTCTGATCGCCAGGAACCTGGTCTGCATCCAAAGAAGAACACGTCTCACCAACCTGGACAGGGGGCAAGAGCATAATCCTCTCTGACAATCCATGTATGAGACCACAGCCGTGTTGTCAGTCCTTGACCTAATGTGATAACCACTCAATTGGGTAAGAACTATTTGAGTGCCAGAAACGCTGCTCCAAACAGTTTGTGTGATAGAGCTAATATCAGCCAATCGTCAAGGTAACTCAAAACTCAGACACCCCGCCACAACAGGGCCAGAGACATCCATTCACCTTGCGTTCAAGGCCAGTTCAATGGAAGAATACAGTATTGGCAAGCTTTATTCTAAAAGCAAACCTGAGGAACTTCCTGTGTCTCTTGATGATCTGGATGCAGAACTACGCATCCTTAGATCGATGGTCACAAACCAATCTCCGGTTCAGATAGAGACATGATGTACTTCTGCGTCAGCATCTTGAAATTGCTTACTCCAAGCACAAGGTTAGATGACGCAAATTCAATCAACCCATAGAAGCTGGATGGTGTAACAATACGACAGCCTGATCCTCCCTCATGAGGCCACGAGATACCTGAATTGTGGGAAAAACCTCTGAAACAGGAACGGATACTAAAATTAGGCATGCCAGCACCAACCACAGAGTGGGGACTTGGATGTCAACATAGACCCTGCACCAATGGCTTTAGGGCTATCCTCTCGATCTCCAAAGCTAAGGCATGGAGAACTCCAAAGCTAAGGCATGGAGAACTGTCAAAATCAGTCCGAATCACAACAAGGGGTGGAACAGCTGATAGAGAGGCAAACACACTTGTAGGTTGCCCACATTCAAACACACCTCCAGCTCAATGCAACAGCGGAGCTGAAAAGAACAGAGCAATTAGTCAAGCAAACCACTGCTTGGTAGCATGAAGCACCCAACATCTCAAGTGCACAATAATTTATGCTGCAGTCACATAATGCAGCCAGTCATGTGACGCGAGTGTTGATAGCAAAAGCGCCGCATCAATCACATGAAGAAGGCTGACCATGGTGAGCATTAATAGCTTGCCATAAGAGATACTCTTAAGGCCCTTTCACACGGGATGCGGCACACGTGAACTCATTCACACAGTAGCTCAGCTCAGTGCATCTCAGTTGGGATGAGAAGAATAATGATTAGTTATGCAAATAGTGTTGGTAGCTTGAAGTGTCAAAAACCATGTTGCATGACAAATGTGTGTTGCAAAACTTCCCAGAGCCAGCTCATAGCACAGAGTCAACTATTTGTTCCAGCTCAAAACAGCATTGGAGCTGAAAGAATAATTATTATTAGCTGGGCAGACTAGTGTTTGGTAGCATGAAGCGCCAAAAATCATAGCGCACGGCAAATGTCAGCTGTGGAGTCCGTGCTTAAAAACAGTCACATGAACAAGAGTTGGAAGCGTAAGCGCCAAATCAATGTACGTGCCTTAAAGGGTTAGTTCACCCCAAAATAAAAATTAGGCTGCGTTTCACTCACCCCCGAGGCATCCTAGGTGTATATGACTTTCTTCTTTCAGACGAATCCAGTCGGAGTTATATAACAAATTGTCTTTGATCTTTCAAGCTCTATCGTTGTACTCAGCGGGTGTTGCATTCCTTCGGTTCAAAAGACGTGAAATAAAACGCACACTTCCACAAAAAAAAGTGTCTCACACAGCTTCGGGGAGTGAACAAAGGCCTCCTGTAGCGAATCGATGCGTTTTTGTAAGAAAAATATCCATATTCAAAACGTAATAATCACTTGAATCTAGCTTGCGCTCACTGTTGTAAAATGGAAGCAGTTCCGGTGGAATGATGTATGAGGTCAGCTTTGCGCATGCGCAGCTCAGAAGTGACGCACGCGGAGAGATCAACCTTATACGTCATGCTCCCGGAACTGCTTCTGTATACAACTGTTGGCGCAAGCTAGATTCAAGTGATTATTACGTTTTGAATATGGATATTTTTCTTACAAAAACGCATCGATTCGCTACAGGAGGCTTTTGTTCACCCCCCGGAGCCGTGTGAGGCACTTTTTTTTTGTGGAAGGGTGCTTTTTATTTCACGTCATTTGAACTGAAGGAATGCAACACCCACTGAGCATGATAGAGCTTGAAAGATCAAAGACAATTTTTAATATAACTCCGACTGGATTCGTCTGAAAGAAGAAAGTCATATACACCTAGGATGACTTGAGGGTGAGTAATTTATGGGCTAAATATCATTTTTGGGTGAACTAACCCTTTAATTAATGCAGTGCAGGAGTAGAGACAGGAAAAACCCTGCTCACTCTGCAGCCCGAGTCACTATGGCATTAGGTGTAAAACAGCTTGCCATAGGAATTTACTCTAGATATGTGAGCTCGCCCACTGATTTGTTCCAGCTCAAAGCATCAGCGGAGCTGAAAGAAAAATTAACAGCCGGCCAGACGGCTTGGTAGCATGAAGCGCCAAGACCATAATGCATGACAAACATCCGCTGCAGGACTCCTAGAGTCTGTGCCTAAAAGCAGTACAAGAAATATGCGTCTAAAAACAGTACACGAACAAGAGTTGGAAGCGTAAGCGCCACAGCAGGTAATGTTAGAGACTGTTATAGCTTGCTATAAGAAATACTCTGAAACACGTGAGCTCTTCCACCCACACATTTTTCCGCTTGGGTGAGCGCTTCGCTGACAACTTACCTCACACATTAAATCTGCCACAGACCAGCAAATCACTGAGAACACGCATCAATCCTGATGACTCATAGCAACAGAACGGAGGCGAGAAAGCTGCGCAGAATCCCCTCGCCAGGAAGCAACTGCAACTGGTATTAGAAAAATATCCATATTCAAAACGTAATAATCACTTTAATGTAGCTTGCACTCACTGTTGTACAGCCCCCCACCCCCCCCATCCCAATATTCAGATATGAGGATTTATTTATTTTATAAGATTAATATTTTAACTGATATGTTTCTGATTACTTTCTGCTTTCAGAAGACCTTGAAGAAAATAAGAAATCTGAACAAATCTGTGAAGAAATCATTGGCATTGAAGGCACAGCTGATGAAGAGCCCAAAGAACAATGTCAGAAACAAAAGCACAAATTGAAAATGGCAAAAAATATGAAAATGACAAGCCTTATAAAACACAGAAAGAATTCAAAATCTGAAGCTGCTCTCACCCCCGAAACACTGCTAGGTAAAATAGCACAATGGGTTGTAAATTGTAATGCTTGTAAATGAAAGAAAACAAGTTTCTTATCATCCTCTAATTTCTGATTTATACTTTAGAAGTGGACCTTGATACCATTGAAGGCATAGCAGATTCCCCTGGTGATCCTCAAGTGAAATGTCAGAAACAAAAAATCAGAATCAAAATATCAGAAAAAATTAAAATTCTTGACTTCAAGAAATGGCAGAAGAATTCAAAATCCCCTGGAACTCCATCAGGTATAGTATAGTTGATAGAAAAAATGCACTGTAAACATAATACAAAAAGTAAATATTTCCCAGATATTATTTTAATCATTTATTTTACAATTAGAACAATTGACAATATTAATGCAATTCATAAATTTTGTTTTTATTTCACGCTTGATATTTTCCTCTCAAAGTTGAAATAGATCTTTATACATGAAAATGTATAATACAGCTGCTATATTTTAGTATGGGTCTCTCGCAAAATGATCACTATATTAGAGGAACCTTGGCATCAAAAAGTTTGAAAACTCCTGCTATACCATACACATGAGAATTAGCAGGAGCTAAGGATTAATTAAAATAAATTAAGTTAATATAATGTAATTATCTTCTCATAATGCAGTGGAATTGGATTTCAATGGGAACCTTGAGCAGAACCGTTTGGCTGAAGCACAGCAACAGCTGGTGAAAGCTGAGGAACGTCTCTTCGTTTCAAAAGAAGGGGCCAGGGCAGAAGATGAGGAAGACAAGCTGCATATGGACTATGAGATCTTTGTTTTGCACCTGAGATTGGCCATCAATGACTCTTTCAGTGAGGACAACCAGGAGACACTCAAGAGTGCTTTGACTTCAATACTTAAAGAGGAGGCACAGGACAGACGCTGGATGGAAGTGGCCGTGGATCAACGTCCAGTATGGAGGCCCACAAGGTGCAGACAGATTCATGACACATTACTCCAGACTACCGTGGAGGAACGAATGAAGAATGCAGATGAACAGGAGAATAAAGCAGACATGCTGTCTACCTCCTTGAAGAGAGAGGTGTTCCGAATGGGCAAACAAGTGCAGAAGGATCTGCTCACAGTGGTCCGAAATCTGAGAGAGCGTTACCCACCAGACTTTGACATCTGCAGAACGTATGCTCAGCTCTACCATAAAGCCTTTTCCACCAGACTTCAAGAGCTCGCCAGATCCAAAATCAGTTCTGAGGATTGTTTCTATATATTAAGTTGGATTGTGGAGTACTACCCAAGGTAAGGGCCAGTAAACAACATTAATCTTTCAAAAGCATGACGTTTTACATAAATTTTCAGTTTTTTAAATGTTAATGTTCTTTAATGTTTTTTTCTTAGAGATGTATTGAAGCATAAAGAACTAGAGGAGCACATCAACAGTTCATCACTTGGACCTCTGTTACCTGAAGAAGACTTTAAGAGATTAGAGGAACAGTACTTCTCTTACAAAGAGGTGATTCAGTACACGACTGACATTATTAGCAAATGGTTTTATTTATATACAGTGGGGAAAAAAAGTATTTAGTCAGCCACCAATTGTGCAAGTTCTCCCACTTAAAAAGATGAGAGAGGCCTGTAATTTTCATCATAGGTATACCTCAACTATGAGAGACAAAATGAGAAAAAAAAATCCAGAAAATCACATTGTAGGATTTTTAAAGAATTTATTTGCAAATTAAGGTGGAAAATAAGTATTTGGTCAATAACAAAATTTCATCTCAATACTTTGTTATATACACTTTGTTGGCAATGACAGAGGTCAAACATTTTCTGTAAGTCTTCACAAGGTTTTCACACACTCCCAATATTCAGATATGAGGATTTATTTATTTTATAAGATTAATATTTTAACTGATATGTTTCTGATTACTTTCTGCTTTCAGAAGACCTTGAAGAAAATAAGAAATCTGAACAAATCTGTGAAGAAATCATTGGCATTGAAGGCACAGCTGATGAAGAGCCCAAAGAACAATGTCAGAAACAAAAGCACAAATTGAAAATGGCAAAAAATATGAAAATGAAAAGCCTTATAAAACACAGAAAGAATTCAAAATCTGAAGCTGCTCTCACCCCCGAAACACTGTTAGGTAAAATAGCACAATGGGTTGTAAATTGTAATGCTTGTAAATGAAAGAAAACAAGTTTCTTATCATCCTCTAATTTCTGATTTATACTTTAGAAGTGGACCTTGATACCATTGAAGGCATAGCAGATTCCCCTGGTGATCCTCAAGTGAAATGTCAGAAACAAAAAATCAGAATCAAAATATCAGAAAAAATTAAACAACTTGACTTCAAGAAATGGCAGAAGAATTCAAAATCCCCTGAAACTCCAACAGGTATAGTATAGTTAGAAAAAAAATTCACTGTAAGCATAATACAAAGAGTAAACATTTTCCAGATATCATTTTAATAATTTGTTTTACCATTAGAACAACGACAATATAAAGGCAATTCATACATTTAGTCTTTATTTAAGACTTGATGTTCAAAGTTTGCATGAAAATGTACACAGTAATACAAATGTATAATGCAGCTGCTACATATATTTTATTATGGGTCTCTCGCAATATGATCACTATATTAGAGGATCGTTGGCATCAAAAATTAAAACTCCTTCTATACCATACACATGAGAATTAGCACAAGCTAAGGGTTAATTTTCAGAAGTTAATATAATGTAATTGTCCTCTCATATAATGCAGTGGAGCTAGATTTCAATGGGAACCTTGAGCAGAACCGTTTGGCAGAAGCACAGCAGCAGCTGTTGGAAGCGGAGGAATGTCTCTTCAGTTCTAAAGAAGTGACCAGGGCAGAAGATGAGGAAGACAAGCTGCATACGGACTATGAGATCTTTATTTTGCGACTGAGATTGGTCATCCATGACTCTTTCAGTGAGGACAACCAGGAGACACTCAAGAGTGCTTTGACTTCAATACTTAAAGAGGAGGCACAGGACAGACGCTGGGCAGAAGTGGCCGTGGATCAGCGACCAATATGGAGGCCCGCAAGGTGCAGAAAGATCCATGACACATTACTCCAGAATATCGTGGAGCAACGAATGAAGAATGCAGATGAACAGGAGAATAAAGCAGACAACCTGTCTACCTCCTTGAAGAAAGAGGTTTGCCGAATGGGCAAACAAGTGCAGAAAGACCTGCTCAGAGTGGTCCGAAATCTGAGAGAGTGTTACCCACCAGATTTTGACATCTGCCAAACGTATGCTCAGCTCTACCATCAAGCATTTTCCACCAGACTCCAAGAGCTTGCCAGATCCAATATCAGTTTAGAGGAATGCCTCTATATATTGAGTTGGATTGTGGATTACTACCCAAAGTAAGGGCTAGTAAACAACATTACTCTTTCAAAAGCATGCTGTTTTACATACATTTCCAGTTTCAGAAATGTTAATGTTCTTTAATGATTTTTCTTAGAGATGTACTGAAGCATAAAGAACTAGAGGAGCACATCAACAATTCATCACTTGGACCTCTGTTACCTGAAGAGGATCTTAAGAGATTAGAGAAACAGTACTTCTCTTACAAAGAGGTGATTCAGAACATGACTGACGTTATAGCATCTGTAGCATGTTAGGATTCAAAAGAGGCTCCCATTTGCAGAATTAGATTTTATTCTGCAAATAAAATGTTGATTTTTTTTTTTTTTTTGCTTTTGACTGGACATGCTGCTCATATCTGGTGTAGATACAGTGTTAGTTAAGGTTCCTCTCTCTCATATCAGTTAATCCTGCATGTTTTAGTTTATAATTCCTGTTGCTTATTTTCTCTCATCAGAATGAGCTCAGAAAGTGGTTATCCAATGCTTTTGAGAAAGAAGTGAAAAAATGGAGTGATGACATCGAACCAGAGCTGATGGATGGATACTACTTCAGTAACTTTGCTGTAGATGTTTTACCAGTAGGTTATGAGCTCTACTGACTCTTACTTTAATTATACATGTTGGGATCCTTAAACAGAGTCAACATTTTTTATAGCTTGTTGATGGGGCTGTAAAAGATGTCAACACACTTTTGAGCTGTGAATGTAAAGCCTGGAGTCTTCTAAACCAGCTGGACAGCTTTCTTCTGAGGTAGCTAACTAGTAACTATCATTGTCACATTCTCACATATGTAAAATCATAAGATTGACATGCTTTCTCCTTTTTTTCAATGGCAGCTATAAGACAAGTCTGGAGGAACTTATCAAAAGAAAACAAGAAAACATTCCTAAAACTCTCAGTGCTAATCTGGTTAATATTTACCAGTTTAGGTGAGTTTGAATGATTGACTGAGAAATCTGTTTTCTACCTTGTTGCAGCAGTTCTAAGAAGTGTACATTTTTTAATTTTTTAAATATGCGGTTACAATATAATGTAATTATTAAAAAATATATTATAAATTATACAATACAATGTATTTTGTTGCTCATATTTGAATTAAAATCATTCAAATATAATTTTATTTTTATAAAAATTACAGCTCTCAACTGTTAACATGTTAACAAGTCTACTGTCATTATTATAATAAAATTGTACCAACCATTATTTCTTTATATCTTCAGGGATTATGTACAAAAACCAGAGCATCCTTTCTCAGAGGACACCAGAACAGCTTGCCTGTCCACATTAGCAGATCTCAAAAAAATTTGTTACAAATACTTCCTCGGTCTAATTCACACAGAACTAAAGGTAAAGAACAAAAAATTATGTGCAGTTACAATAACTGTTTACCAGGAGATACTGTCCTAATCAATATTTTCCATCTTAATTTTATATGTTAGATGATCAATGAGGAAGTGTTTAGTATACAGTAGTTTAGCCAGGTATCAGAATGTAGAAGTCAGCATTTGATAGATACTACAGCAATTTAACAAACTTGGATTTAGCCAAGCAGTTACTGTATCAACATCTTGTTGGACAGCATATCAATCAATGGTTATGATGAAATGTTAGCTTGAAAGGTCTAACATCTATTGGCTCAACCAGTGGCGGAGTGGTGGTCAAAGAAATCATACTTTTTTAAACCTTTAACTTCAAATTTCAAATCTCAGATTTTTAGAGCTAGGTTGTGGAAAGGGTTAAGAAATGGCTTGGCTTTTGATTTTATTATAGGAATGTTGTTCCAGGGCCAACACAGAAGTCCTCACTTAGAGAAATCACATACTGTGCTGTACTTCCATGTTTGCAATGCTTCTTTTAATATTAACTTCTTAAATCAATTCTTACATTTTGGAAATAACCACAATGTTTATTACACAGCCGCTGTACCATAATCTGTGGACTCAAGTTTGGTTTGCTGGACATTGTGAGGTTGTGGAGGAGCTGGTGAAGGCGCTTGAGAATAACATAGACAATTTCAAAGAGCTAAAGCCTGTCTGCAGAGAGGTCAGAACCAATTTTGCAGCATATCGTTTCTGACAGAACTGTAACATATTGTAAATCAGGGGTTCTCAAACAAGGGGGCAAGGGCTCACTGGAGGGCCTCAGCAAACTTACAAGGGAGTCTCAAGATAACATATTTAAATAAATAAAAAAATAAAATAAAATAAAAAAGTGTCTTAACTGGAAAAATAACTTGCTGGGCCTTCTAATATTGTTGTAGGCAATGGGGGCCCTTGGAAAAGGTCGAGAACCACAGTTGTAAACCGATGTATAATCTTACATTGGTTACTATTATTTTACAATTATAGATATATGAAGAGTGTGTGTCTATATGTTTATAGGAGCTACTGGCTGAGCTGCATGAAGAAGTAATGGTTGAGTATGTGAGGCGAATGATGAAGAGAAAACTGAAACTGAAAGACAAAGAGCAGCAAGAAGCAGCTGCTGAGTTCATCTGCCACGACAGCAATACAATCTGCTCTGTGTTTGCCAAAGTGGTGAGATCACATACAGACCCACACATGTATGCATATGAACATACTTTCATATAGATTTTTTGAGAAATTTAGCATTACATATCATATTCATCAATGGATCCTCTGCAGTGGATGGGTGCCGTCAGAATGAGAGTCCAAACAGCTGATAAAAAAAATCACAATAATTCATAAGTAATCCACATGACTCCAGTAGCATCAATTAATGTCTTGTAAAGCAAAAGGCTGCATGTTTGTAATAAACAAATTCATCATTAAGGCATTTTAACTTCAAACCAGGCTCAAAAAAAGAGTCCTCTATCCATAATATTGCTTTCTCAACTGAATCAGGAGAGAAATATGCACGGATCAAGCACCATTTACAAGTGAAAACAGTTCTAAACACATATGTCAATGGACTTTGAGAGGATGACAAGGGATGGACCTTTTCACTGGAGGAAGCATTATGCTGAATTATGGACTCATATTTTGATCAGAAGAAATGATTTAAAATTACATTCACTGCAGAGGATTCATGGGTGAGCAAATTATCATTACATTTTCATTTTTGCGTGAACTATTCCCTTGATCATTCTTTTATCTCTATTTAGTTATTTTAACATTTTTATCATAGCTGTTCACATTGGGAAACTTAAAACAATAATTAAAGCCCCAGAAGCGTAGAGTGTTGTATAGGGTTAATTAAGAGTTCAAATAGTTTGGAAAATTGAAAACATTTGTGTTTGATATGCTGACAGGAACATACAGTAGTGTAGTACTATTATTTTAAACACAATATGACATTGAGTCACAGACAAAATATGGCTCTATTCAGTGTAATCGTTACATTGTTCTCTTTGCTTGAATTGTGGGAAAGCAGAGGGAAATTATGATGTAACATTAAAACTGAGTACCATTCTCTTCCCTAGGGATCCAGAGAGGAATGGCTCGGTCAAATACTGCCAAAATTATCAGAGATTCTGAGACTGCAGGATCCTGGGAGTTTGCAACTTGAGATAGTTACTCTGGCAAGAGACTATCCTGACATTAGGTGAGTCTGTTAGATAGCAGCTGGCAAGATGCAGTTATTTTACCTTAGAGAAAGCAACTATAGTAAGATATCTTATTTTCAGTCTCATTCTTTATACAAATATCTACAGTTTTGCCATTAGCCAAATGAAAGATGAGTTTAGAATTTGATTATTAATCTTAGAGTGTGTGTGCCTTGTTTCATCAATGTTCTTTGTTGTCATTCTTCACTAGTAAGCAGCATGTTCTTGCTCTCCTAAACCTGAAGACCAACCTTTCAAGCTCAGATCTGCGCAGGATCAAAGTGTGTCTGAGTGAAAACAGAGGCACGCTGGACACAGAGTCCCCTACTTCCTTCTTTTCTAAAGTACTCGTCAAACGAAAAATCATCTGAATGCCCTGTTACATCTGTAGCTAATGTGAAACAACTGTGATTCACACTGTAATAGATAATCAGTATTGTTATGTAATATCATGTTTATTATTAAGGAAACTCACGATTTTATTCTGATTTTACATTCTCTAGAAGTGCTCGTCATATGGAAAGTCATCTGAATTCCTTTACTATTAATTGCGAATGTTAAACAACTATGAAACATACAGTACTGTGAAACAAAATCAGTATTATCCATCCATTTTCCATGTCCTCTGCATGGTCGGGGTTGGAGTCTATCCCAGCGGGGTACGCACAGTATAATCAGTATTATTTTACGTAATATGTATTATATGATTGTTACAGTTTTTCTCAACTGATTTTACACTGTTCTCTAAAATTAAAGTCGAGAACAGTGTATTTTGAAAGTTGTATTTAATCAATAGCATTTTTGAATATGGCTAAGTTTTTTAGAGCACTGAATTTGTGTAAAACCAGTTGAGAAAACCTGTGAAATGCCAACAGTCTAAATGGTCAAATCAAATGGAAAAAGGTGTATATATATTTATTCTAATATAAAGTGTTTTAGCTTTATTTGAATGCATGTTCGCAGCTCTGAAAATAAACGTTTATTTTCAAAAATTATTTAAACATTCTGATATAATGCACTTATTGTTTCACTTAATGATTATGCAGCATGCCTTGATTCACAATGCACAATACAGTACAGTAAATGTCATTTTAAACTAAAGAGATCCAGAGCTGCTCAGAAAATAGGCTTTTTTTACATTTGCTGTCAATGTAGGTGTATTTCATGTACCTATCGTAGCTGAATAAAATGTTTACATTTGTCAAAAACAAAAGATCCATTATTGCAACTAGAAACTGAATTGTATCACTTTAACAAAAACCATAAAACTGGTTCATTTATTTTACATCATTTTACATTTTAACATGAGAAAGGCAAAACATTTTGATCTCATTCAGTTCTCTTAATAAATTATTCTCCTGACATTTTGGCTAATGAAAGTTTGCTATTGTGTTTTTCAGTGTTAATGGTAAAATGTTGTTTGCATCAGACTGCAGTATAAACTCAAGTTCCAGTAAAATGTTAGGAAGCGAGTATAGTGAGATGGAGAGTTTAACTAATACTAATACTTGTTTCTGGTATTTAGATTAATATTTTATGTTAGGAAGGTTTTGTTTATGATGCTATGTTGTCGGTCAATTGTGTATCCTAGTCCCACCTTTCGACGCCCCCTAAGGGTCTGGCTGCAGACATGCACATGCACTCTTATTAGACTGAACATTGCACAAGTGACGTCACTTGCAATCTTTTTTTAATAAAATATCTCAACATTTTACAACAGTAACCAGGTGGTGAAGACAAGGAAAAAGATTACAATAACACTTGCAAAATAAAATGTACTATAAGGCAAGGAGATTGAATATGAATGAAATGCACAAACTTTTACTTTTCCTCCCATAACGTAAAATGCTTAATGTGGCATAACGGACTATCATCTTTCAATTAAAGTGAAAGTGATGTGTAGCCAAGTATGATGTCCCATACTCGGAATTTGTGCTCTGCATTTACCCATCCAAGTGCACACACACACAGCAGTGAATACACACCCAGAGCATGAGAGCAGTGGGCAGCAATTTTTGCTGTGGCGCCCAAGGAGCAGTTGGGGGTTCAGTGCCTTGCTCAAGGGTCTCACGGTCACCTCATGGTTTTGAGGGCGGAAGAGAGCACTGGTCATATATTCCCCCCACCTACAATCCCTGCTGGTACCAAGACTCAAACCCACGACCTTTGGGTTACAAGTTCGACTCTAACCATTAGGCCACAATACAGGATTCGAACCTGGAATCCCCAGGTCAAGAACTGACACTAAGACCGCTGGGCCACAGGCTCTTCCAGAAATTAAGAATACATAGAACTGCTCAAATTTAATTAAGAAAGTGATATTAAATGGACCAAATTCGGTATACAGTTTATTAAAAATATTATGTACAGCAGTGATGTGAAAAAATTATGAAAAAATTCCATGGCTCCTAATCGGTGGTCCTGTGTCATACAGTGAGAGAAGTTCAAAGCTGTTGTCAGTCTTGCAACCAAAGATTGATCTTCATGATCATCACACAGTGTGGTGCTACATTTACTGACCAGCCAATAAAATGGTTCAACCGTAATTTAACGAAGAAAACAATAATAACATAATTTATTCAGCAAATTCTTCTCCTCGAGTTACCGTCTTCCGCCAAGAGTACCCCAGAACGTAATCAACGTAATCAGCGTTGTTTACATTCAGTAGACATTCAGAGTTATTATTATTATTATTGTTTTCTTTGCGCACAAAAAGTATTCTGGTAGCTTCGTAAAATTACACTTGAACCCCTGATGACTATTTTACCGATGTACTTGCTACGTTTCTGTGCGCTGATTGGGGTAATATCATTGCTGTCTATGGAGGGTCAGAGAGCTCTCTGATTCCATCAAAAATATCTTAATGTGTGTTCCGAAGATGAATGAAGGTCTTACGGGTCGAGTAATTAATGACAGAATTTAATTTTTTGGGGTAAACTATCCCTTTAAGATCTGTTTTCAACAACACAAATGTGCATACGCCACAAATTCTGTTAAATTTTCGTATGCGATTTGTCTGTTCAGACCAATGGTCAAAAAAAGGCCAAAATATTTATGGGACAATGTGAAATATTTTTGTTTTTTTGCAGATTATTTAAATGTGAGTAGGGCAAACAGTTTTTGAGATTTCAGTATTTTCCCATTTAAGTAGATAGCAGGTGGTCTTGCATACTCGAAATAGCTTCTTGGAGGCGTTGCAAATATGGTAGGTAAGGGATATAATATAATAATCCTTTTTTGGAATTAACTTTACAAAAATGTTGCACTGCAACACAAGTGACTGTAGGTTTTATATATTTGTCTTCTCACGGACATAATCCATCAGAAAAGTTGTGGAAATACAGAGGTTTTTTCTTTTGCTTTTCAAGAAAATAGTCTCCCATATACCCCAATGGAAGTTTACCTACTAGTTTACTTCTTTCAACAACACAAATGTGCATATGCCACAAATTCTGTTAAATTTTCGTATGCGATTTGTCTGTTCAGACCAATGGTCAAAAAAAGGCCAAAATATTTATGGGACAATGTGAAATATTTTTGTTTTTTTGCAGATTATTTAAATGTGAGTAGGGCAAACAGTTTTTGAGATTTCAGTATTTTCCCATTTAAGTAGATAGCAGGTGGTCTTGCATACTCGAAATAGCTTCTTGGAGGCGTTGCAAATATGGTAGGTAAGGGATATAATATAATAATCCTTTTTTGGAATTAACTTTACAAAAATGTTGCACTGCAACACAAGTGACTGTAGGTTTTATATATTTGTCTTCTCACTGACATAATCCATCAGAAAAGTTGTGGAAATACAGAGTTTTTTTCTTTTGCTTTTCAAGAAAATAGTCTCCCATATATCCCAATGGAAGTTTACCTACTAGTTTACTTCCGTGACCCTGGACCACAAAACCAGTCATAAGGGCACATTTTTTGAAATTGAGATTTATACATCATCTGAAAGCTGAATAAATAATTGATGTATGGTTTGTTAGGATAAGACAATATTTAAAGTTGTCCAAATGAAGTTCTTAGCAATGCATATTACTAATCAAAAATTACATTATGATATATTTACGGTAGGAAATTTACAAAATATCTTCATGGAACATGATCTTACCCTAATGATTTTTGGCATAAAAGAAAAATCGATAATTTTACCCATACAATGTTTTTTGGGCTATTGCTGAAAATATACCCCAGTGACTTAAGACTGGTTTTGTGGTCCAGGGTTACATTTGTTGATATAACAGTAAGCGAGGTCAAAGCTCGTTTAGGGTGTGAAAATAAAGCCTGGTGTCTTCTAAACCAGCTGAAGGGCTTTCTAACAAGGTAAACAACAGAAACTTATTTAATGATTACACTGTCCTGAACCTTGCCTACCTCATTTAGTTTTAAAAAGGACCAATGAGGAAGTGTTTAGAGTATCTATAGAAACTACGGATCCAAGGCACTTCTTCCAGTTCCAAAACGTTAAAAAGCCTTTATTCAAACACGGCTCACTCTAGAAACCATTACTAACGTTTCTAGAGTGAGCCATGTTTGAATAAAGGCTTTTTAACGTTTTGGAACTGGAAGAAGTGCCTTGGATCCGTAGTTTCTATAGATATAATTTTGAACCCAACCAAAGAGCACCTTCTGGGACTATTAAACGGAGGTCCTTTCAGCAAGTAGCGCTCCAAGATGTTTTCTTTGAAGTGTTTAGAGTAGTTTATATGATAATTACAAGGTCAGCAATTTAACTTTGATTCATCCAAGTATTTACTGAATCAACATTTACCATTCAATTGTTAGAGTTAGGGTTAATAAAAGTGCTTGGCATTTGATTGTATTATAGGAATGTTGTTCCAGGGCCTACACGTCTGTCCTATTGTACTTGCATAAACAGCATAATGCGCTTTACTTTCATGTTTGATGCTTCTTTTACTATTAATTTCATAAATTAAAAAATTACAAATAACCAGACTTGTTTATCTGCACAGCCGCTGTACCATAAACTGTGGACTCAAGCTTGGTTTGCTGACATTGTGAGGTTGTGGAGGAGCTGGTGAAGGCGCTTGAGAATAATATAGACAGTTTCAAAGAGCTAAAGCCTGTCTGCAGAGCGGTCAGAATCGATTTGCAGCAAATTATTATGTGATGTGATGTTAATAGATGTGTAATCTTACTTTGGTCTCTATAACATGTTTTTTTTATTATTGTTTTAAGATACAATTATAAATATATGAAGTGTGTGTCTGTGTGTTTATAGGAGCTACTGGCTGAGCTGCATGAAGAAGTGATGGTTGAATATGTGAGGCAACTGATGAAGAGAAAACTGAAACTGAAAGACAAAGAGAAGCAGCTGCTGAGTTCATCTGCCACGACAGCAATAAAATCTGTTCTGTGTTTGCCAAAGTGGTGAGATCACATACAGACCCACACATGTATGCATATGAACATACTGTACACTCTCATGTGAACAAAACATGCAAAATACTCCACAAGCAGATTTTCATTCGAATTTGAATAGAGTACAATTACACATCATATTTTCTCCCAGTTTTCTTCCTGGAACAAGCCTCAGGAATTCCTGACTCGTATAGGATACACATGGTTGTCATTATGTTTTGGAATCTCAGAAACCTCCAGTTTCTCTCTTCCATTTCTGTTTCTCTGAATCATACTTTTAAAGTATCTAATGTAGAAAATCAAAAAGAAAGGAATCATGTTTGTGTATGTGTTTAATCACAGTTCCCAAATCTCCCTATTGGTGAAGCTGAACCCTGCTTAATTAAATAACAATTAAAGGGTATTTTATAGGCTTGTTTTAAAGTTTATTGGTTACAATGGTTTAGATAATCAAAAACATTTGTGTGCTTGACATGCTGCCAATAACGTACAGTAGTCTGGAATTATTGTTGTAGACACAATATGATATTGAGTCACAGACTAAA